TTCTTCTTCTTCTTCTTCTTCTTCTTCTTCTTCTTCTTCTTCTTCTTCTTCTTAAAAAAATAAATTTTGTAAACTCTCATACGCGCACGTAACATTTTCCTTGAACCCTGGGAAAATAAGCGTACATTTATTATTAATTTACTTTATCTTATGAATTGGCCGTGCCGTCAGATCAGATTACATTTTTTTTGTCTTGTCCTTTAGAATCAGTTTAATGATAGGCCACACTTCAAAACTATACCGTTTAGTTTAGACTACATGTATATCATTCTAGAGCTAATCTATTTTGGTTGGGCTAAAAAGATGACGTGCTGAATATAAATAGGACAGTATGATTATAAATCCATGGTTCACAGTTCTGATGGTGCTACCATCTTTCCTTTTATCGAGCAAACTAAGGTCCATACATGTTGTATAACTCTAACGGTTTTGAATTATAAGAAGAAAAGAGAAAATGAGGGGTGAAAACGAAAGAAGGGGGCGGGTGAAGAAAATAACCCCATGTTGTAACAAAACAGGTTATATATTATACTATCTATCTATATTTTATATATATATATATATATATATATATATATATATATATAACCGTTCCTTCTTTTGTGGTGAGAGGCATTGTTGTAAAAGATATTATCGTGGGTACACATATAAAGACCCAGACCCTTATAAAAGAAAGCTTAAGATCGAGACATTCCGACACAGGCGGGTGTATTGTCAATATTGTATTTCTGCTGTTACAGTCCAGTGCTCTGTGTTCTAGTGCCACTGAAGTGTGACTGTTCCTTGGGTTAAGAGGCCTGTATTACTTGATTGGCTTCACAGGACTCGCCTTTCGCGCTTAAAATTGCTCTGGGAGTGTGGACTCCCCGGTGGAACTGACGCACAAAGTGGTCGCCTTCTTTCGGGAACCATGAAAGAGACTATGCTAATATTGGCCCGTCGTGTGGGTTCTCTAAAACAACATTGGTTCTGGTCTGTCCTCATTCTTGCGCTTTTTTTTAGCCCCCCCCCCCCC